GGGGGGGGGGGGGGGGGGGGGATGCTGTGATATAGGTAGTTGTGGCATTTTGTCGTTGAGTGTGAGAGTTTCTGAATTTATCGGTATTTAGAACAAAGTAACCCACTTCTTGATCGTCTGCCATATACTTTATATACAGTAAATGTTTTCATATCTATTTTTGTATCAATAATGACAGTTCCATAGTGGATCAGATATTAACCCACCCTGTGAGCAATACTATTGTGAATTGCTATTGTTTATTCTGGTACTTTATTCAATGTTTTAGAGGAGAAAGTAACACAGTTATGTCTTACAGCTCTGGTCCTCTTCACATTCCCTTCGGAGCTCCTCTCCAAACAATCTGTCGAGACTTTTTTTTTTTTTAGCTTTGATGCTTTTTAACAGTGTGAAACAGAAGCACAGCCTTTACAGCACAACAGTGAAACACACCGAGTGAAAGACGGCACGGCACACTTGTGTACGTGCAAAGAGGCATCAAATCGTTTGAATCCAAAAGTCCAAATCCACTCTTGCAATATTTGTTTTGTTATCAGCCTGGATCATTTGATTTGACTTCAGTCAATTAATTCTTATGCGTCGCTGTTTAACAGCCTGCAGGAAGTGTTGAATCAACAGAAGGTGTGCAGGAATGCAACAGATCTTCCACGCCGTCAGTGGGTGTGTGATAGTCAAGACTGTATTAGTTGCCTTTTGTGCATCCTGAATTAACGAACATTGGTGCCAAAAAGGTTATTCAACAACCCTTTGCAGAAATAAATTAAGTTAGAAAGAATTAGCAGCTGAAAAACTCTCACTTTCCCTATGTGTGCCACACAACCTATTGTTGGTGTGATTAAAGTGCCACTTATTTTCAAGACCTCTTGCTACCAACCTGTGGAAGTAAAAATAGGTTATGAAGTTATGCTATTTATTCAGTAATTTTTAAATGCCAACGTTAAGTTTATAGTAAGACGGGTTATTTATCACAACTAGGTCAGCTGTGTTTAAAATTCAGGCGATTATGGCCTTCAGTTGCTTCTGTGCAAACCAACACAAAGACCTGAGTAGAACTTCCAGCTCTTTGTTCTGCTGATCTTTCACAAGATGTGTACCACGAATAAGGTTTTTTAAATAGTACATTTATGCTTTGCAGTATTGTTTCTTTTGTATTGATTTTTTTTGAAAAATGCTGTTTTTTTAATGCTGGTTTCAATTGGTGATGTTATTTATTTTTTCCTATTTATTAGGAAACTACCTATGCCACCGCCGGCATTGGTGCCTTACTGTTTTTCACTCGGCAACCTTGTGTGACAGTGTCTTAATGTACTTGTACTTGTACTTTTCTTCTGTACTTCAGGCTGGGTTTGATTTGTAAAATATCTTACAAGTTGATTTATGATAGAGAGAATTTATATGTGATATTATTGTTTAAAGAAAACTAAAAAAAACACACTTCTGTGGGAGCAATTTGTTGTCCATCTCATCTCACCTCACCCATTCACCCTAAAGCAACTACACTCATGTTCATATGAGCAAACTTCTACTTTGTACTCTTTAGTTTTCTTTTCATACCGTGAGGTTGAGCAGCTCAGCCCTAAAAGTTATTTTGACAAAACGTCCCCATCACCACTAAACAACCAACAGGTGGAGCAAGTATTGCATTTTGCTGCTTATTTGGCAATGTTTTGCAAATTTGACCTTCACTAATTTTATACAAACTTTGAATTCTCTCTTGTCTGAAAGCAGATTGCCTTCAGCTCTTGTGGGAAGATGTTGACTTGTACGGTGGCGTCTTTTTTTTTAACCTAATGGTAGAAGTGGCTGGTGAAATCTAAAAACAATATTCAAGGAAAAACTAATTTTTTTAAAAGAAAATGGTTTTGGAAAATTGTGTGATACCAAAGAAATGATGACAATGGTAGTATACAAAAATATGTTTGTTATCTGGTGGATATTCATTATAGCCATTACACCTTCTTTATTTGAGTACAAATTAGATCATGTTGTTTGTTTTCTTAAAAAGAATAAATCAAAATCAAAAGGCGTGACAATGGGGAACACTTGGGAGCAGTGTTTCCTCTCAGCTGATCATTTTGTGAGCTACATTTGATCACACAGACAGGCCATAGGTTTTTGTTCCACTCTGCAGAGACTCTGCTGTGATGTAGGTCTGAGTGAATTGACGCCCCTGCTTTGTGTCATCCTGCCACAAACCTTAATCTTTCAGTGGTAGTTGTAGCTATAAAGCAAAGGTAAAAAGAGAGAGAAAAAGAGCAAGATCAGAGATACTGTTTTTACAATTAACTGTGTTCTCCAGCACATTCCACAGCTGAACACAGAACAAAGGGCCCAGGGGGAGAAATGCTGGAAAATAAGATTCAGTGGCTGCAGCTGAATCAAAGGGGAAATGCATGACAGATGAGAGGGGCTCGCTCCCTCCCCTCTTTTTGTCGGTCACATCCCTGCAGAGCAGATCTCCAACACACAACCCATCTATAAAAAAAAGTGTTAGATTGCCTTCAAGTCCTCACGGAATTATGACTATTACGGATTCCGTTCACACGCTTAAACAAATTGGTATTAATGTGACATCCAGGAGATGTAAGGACATTTCCACAAAGGTATATGTGCCAGTATGTGCTGAAACATGGCGATGTTGATGGCTGAGTAGTATTAATTGGACCTACAAACGTACCGGAAAATAATGAACTAATAATAATAATAATGGAAAGACCTATTCCAAAATTAGAGTTGAAATGCAGCCGATCGGGAAAACAACCTGCGACAATTTCCGAATGGAGTTGCAATGAGTAGTCACCGACTATTCAGTTCAAACTTGAGGGCCAAGAAGGAAGAGCGGGAAATTCCGAGCCGTACCTGAACCCTCCAGCAGTAGTTGGCTGGAAGGGATGAAGCTGCGTCGCTGGTGTTCTTTTCTCCGCGACATATTCATGTGAGCTGTCGACCGAGCCGTAACGACGTGAGCCACGCGGAGCATTCTGCATGGGAAACCACCCTGAACGGACTACAGCAGCACCGAAACAACACGAGCCCAGCTTCTTTATCCCCGTAAAGCAAGAGAAAAACATCAGCTGTCCACGTTCGCTGGTGAAGAAAGCGCGTGGGAGGGGGATGCTTCGCGCGGGCATAGTGAGAGAAACGCGCGCGCTTAATGATAAGTATTTACACAACTAGCTAATGAACCAGTAATTACATAAGTGGTAGTTAAAAACAGTCGGCGTGGTTCGCGTGTGTGCTAGTTGGCTAGGACATGGTAGTATTTATTCACTAGGACTTTGTTTCGTTTTTCATCAACGCGCTTTTGGATTTCTGTCGTTATCACAAAGCAAGTGTGGAGCCGAGGACGAGGTCCGAACAATTCAAGACAGGTAAGCTAACGTTCTCCGAGCTAAACGTGTCCTAATGTTTAGTCCGGTGAGTCTCCGGTTCAATGGCGTTGGTACTGAAAGGTGTCATTTCATTTTTCCCACCACAAGTTATTCCCTTCGCTCTCTCTCACAGGCAAGGCTCTTCATGTCCGTTTAATTGTAGCCTGTGTGTCTCTGTGGCTGTAACATCATCATTTAGAAAACCATTCGGACTACATTTTGCCCAGTGAACGTCCTTCACACAGAGTTAAAAAATAACTCCATGTCAAGTTAAGGTTATTTTGGAGGGAAAAATAATGCATACACAATAATTTTAGTTTGTAAGTACAATTAAGCAAAGCGAACAATGACTATTAAGTATAGAACAAAATCTATCTTAATTTAAACATTTTGTTTAGGATTGTGTTGATTGGGCAACATTGCTTCAGTCAATGCACAGTGGTTAATCTACCTAATGTGCTCACTGAACTGTGGATCTAATAAAACCCTGTAGTAGAATAATTAGTTGGGATACTGCAGGATGAATGAGAGCCTGTCAATAGCTCACTAGTGTGACACCACAGAGACTCTGGTCCAACACATTATGCAGGCTGACATAAGCAGCCACCCTCCTGGCATCCATCCAGCCTCACTTCATTATTATTTTGTGGGGGAACCGCTCTTGGCTGGTTGTCTGTATTGCTGCCGCCTCCAAGAAAAGAAGCGGGTTTAGACTGATTTAGCTGAATTCTGAGCTCCTGTTGTAATTCTCTCCTCAATGTCATTTCTGTGCTGTCTTCAGACTTTAGTGTCGCATTGACTCTCACTCAGAGTGGACCATTAACAAGCCCCAGAGAGGATTAAGAACATTTAAACATGGCAAGTTTTAAGGGCGATAAATACCCCGTCCCCTTCTGTTTCTCCCTTTCTTTATTTACGTGTTTTGGTTATAAAGAAAGGGCTTCAAGCGCAGTGGGCTGGATGCTCTTCACCTCCACTCGCCGCCAACAACATCTGGAGTCACTTGCCAGGAATTCCACCTTTTTGCTATTTGTTTTGCTCAGAGAGGAAAAAGTGTGTTATGCAGGAATATATAGTGAGGCACGCAACAGGGAGGAACATCCAGCTCAGATTAAACCAACAGACCAGAGAATGAGGGGCTGGAACAAGAGGAAGTGCTCCCGCTCTTTGCAGCACGGTGGACGGGTTCCTGGCATCGAGCTGATGCCAGATTCCTTCTCTTTGCCGCCTGCCAAATCCCTCCACCCCATCGTCTTTATCAAAAGCCTTCGCTGCGATTCCCCACTCTTCCAGCTCTGTCGCGGGCGCTATCAATCATATCTCGCTCTCAGCAGACTCTTCTGCTCATTAAGGATGTGAACCTGTAGGTAGCCTGCATCCCCCTCAGCCATTCATTTCTCTCAGCGGGGCGCACAAGACTCGCATCTGGAGCAACATTTTAAAAACATGGCTCGTAGGAGACGTGTACCCCGAAGGAGATTCAATCCATTATGAAGGCTACCCTTCGTGGTGCCAAGCACAGAATAATTAGCCCTTGAAGTGTGGCGTTTATACACGGATCCGTAATCGTTTTTTCATTTGCCAATGAGGCAGAAGAAGCAGGTGCAGTAGATATTACAGTTCAAAGGGAAGTTGGGATTGCCACTGAAAGAGACAAATAATCTCATGGCATGTCGTTGGTCATGATAGTTGGTAAGAAATAGGCGGGCTTCACATCTCATTCCCTTTGTCCCTCTCTTTCTCCGCTCTGTTTTGGTTAAAAGGTCTCAGTCAATACAAGTTGAGCTGCTTTTGTGTGTGTGAGTGCGTGTGAGAGAGAGAGAGAGAGAGAGAGAGAGAGAGAGAGAGAGGACCGCAGGGTGTAGCCCCAGACTTCTTTTTTTTTTTCCCCTCAGGCACCACTTCCCCATCATGAATACGTCTTTGTGCTCCAGCAAAGACACACAAAACTAACTGAGGTGGACAACTTGAAAGGAAAGGAGAACACACATTTGTTTCTGCACAAGTGCAAAAAAAAAGAAAAAACAGAGGAAGGTGAGACGAGACGTTTATTTATAGCTGAGACCTTGCGGCTTCACCTCCACCAAGAAAGCTGCATTTACAACCTGAGATCCTCCACCTTTAAAATCCTGTAGTTACTCCAGATAAAACGTGCTCTTTTTTATTCCCCTCAAAAGATTCCTGTCAGTTCTTCAGTGTGTCTGTAATGAATTTAGAGCTGCACGAGAACAGGAATTCATTCAGACGAGACAGAATTAAAGCAACATGTAGAAAAACGCTGATTCAAAATCCCTCACATTCCTGAACGTAGAAGTTTCCACTTAACATAAATATTTGTGGTGGATTTCTGAACCCTTTCATTCGCTTCAAAAACAACCTTCAACTTCATACTCTAATAGCTCAAAAATCCCTTCAACGATTTACATTACACTTAATGTTACAAACAAGGTTTTTGTTTTTAATAAACGCATTCTGATGCCCTTGTCTGCCTCTAATGTGCCGCATCCACCTCTGGCAGAGCCCCGTCCCGTTAGCCCTCACAGCCACAACAAGCCGTCCCCAGATTGTTCGTAATGCGGCCCCGTATACAGCCGCCCTACCACAACCCATGTGTCACCGCTCAGCAAGAAGAGTGCTGGGCAAAAACCCCCCCCCCCCCCCCGGGGGCCCTGAGCCCAGCTTAGTCACGCCACCGCGGCCAAGACGGCCCTCAACTAAACTGCAAGCTGCTCTGATGACTGCTGACAGCCTGCAAGTTGGCAGAAACACAATCTAAGATGCAACCGAAAGAAAATAGCAACATAACACAGCATGAGGATGAAAGGGCAGGCGAGGATGCCTCTTGATTGGCTGTTATTTTTGTCCAACATCAGAGTAACCTTGACAAGTCTGGACAAACCTCACTTCTGATAATACAACACATAGGACTCCATGTTAATATACATTTGTTAGAAGGTTATTTGTGTGTTTGTAATGCAATTTTGTATCCGTCCCCTTCACTGACTGAGCTTCACATACAGTATGTCCAAACGTAATGTCAGCCGTGGACAGATTGTTCTATATTAACAAGGATTAGTCATTTTCATCATACAATATATGCTTTTAAGTACCAACTCTAAGTAAAGTCTTAACTCTAAGTAAACTGATCTGTTTTGTGGCCTAGCCCCATTTCTGAGTGACTCATCTAAACTGTCCAGACTTGCAGCGTTGTTGACGTCCCAATTAAAGTTGCTCTCGTGCATTTCTTCTCACACAAGACGTAATCTAAACCAGGGTTTTTCTTGTTTTATGAGGCGAGCAAAAAGAACTACAGTTACATGTTTTGAGTTTCTCTAATCCTTCACAAATGTGTGTATACAAGGTTATAATGTCGCACATGAATATGTAAAGGGGGAACTTACGTCCAAGCATTGATCCTGTTGTTAATAACAAAGAGGGAGGCCGGCAGTGCGTAAAAGCATGGATTTGTGTTTGCACCGATTTTTTATTTTTTTTTTGAAAATGCCTCTGCAAAGCATCTTTAGGCTTCTCCGTCTAATGTGCCCAGCGTGACTGTTCTCAGTGTTTCCGTGTAACCGTGGTCCACTCTACTAGTGGGGGGGGGGGCTAATTGCTTGCTATCTGAGTGTCTCACTTTTGATCCATTGCGTACAGTGCTTTGTTGTTGCTGCTCTTAAGGAGAACTTGATTTAATGACACTTATTATCTATTCTCTATCTGTTCTCCCTCGCTGTGCGCTTCACACTCGTATGCCGGCACTTACACACTCTCCACCCCCACGCCAACTGGCATATTGATGGGATGTAGCATCTCCATATTGAGAAGAAGTGGGCTGTGTCTTGGCTCACAGTTCAGTTGCAGTACGATGATCAACGCCAGATGATTCTCTGTCATCCACTTCATTTGTCTTTCGCCCGCTTTGACGTTTTTACCTAATGTGAATTGCAGTTAGTCAATAAATGCTCTTAACTTTCCTTATTTTTTTTAAAAATGAAACTACCATGGACATACTGTCTGTGCATGCTGCAAGCGTAGGAGGGTTGGTGTGATACACACACTACTGCCAACTGTGGGGCATTAATGCATATTGAGAGTTTTTGGCTGTAAAGCATCATTAAAGTTAGCAACAGAGAAGACAGGAAGTTAATGTAAATAATCCAGATTTTAAAAAGGCAATTGAGGTAGGAAATGCAGTGACAGTTATTTTTAAAGTCATAACAATGTGTTTTGGTGTTTACAGTAATGTAAGGAACTGTTAGAGACAGACTCAATTTAATACTGATGCCTCGTTATGACCTCCATAAGTGAACGAGGCCATCAGCAAGAAGATTGCCTATTTTAGATAGTTAAATCGGGTGAAATCATGCAGTTTCACCACAAACTGGTTCAGATCCATAGACAGACAATGTCTCATCATAAAGTAATTGTTAAATCCAGCCCTAAGTATATTGTGGATTAGCCCCCAGTTTTCTTACTTAATACTTTGTGTGGCCAACTGGGATTCTTACAAACTACAAAGGTGTTTTGTGTTCTACTTTTCCTGTGCAATCACAGCTACGTTATTTGCATTATACTTATTATTATATGTGTTTGCAGTCCCTGAGGGTGGATGTAATACCACAGAGAAGAGAGAGATTTACGAGGCCAAGCATCAAAGTGATGCCGGTGACCAGGTAGCACCATAAAGATACAACACACTCCACATGTGACAGGTTTCAGTGGCCCCCTTGTCCCTGTCGAGTCACATCACCGCTCAGTCGCTGTGTGTGTGAAAGGCAGCAGGCGTCAAGCTGAAAGAGGTATGCATAGGGAGCAGGGAAGGCACTGCCAGAAGTCTGGTTGTCTCTCTTCCAGCGAGACTCAAAGTGCTCTGCCGCGAGAGCACAGAGCTCCGAGGAAGCCTGCTGTTGAAGCTCCTGTCAAGGCAACCACAGGCAGCTCTTTCAGGGCTATGCCCACTTATCTCCTCAGTGTGGAGATGTATTGCCTCGATTTGGTCC